CATAGATGGGTGTGTGTGTGTGTGTGTGTATTAGTTATTCTGTAAAAAAGTGTCTTAGTGATTAACGGCCATCATTATGTCACATTTTATTGTGTTTTATTGAAATTATAACTGCACTCAGGTAGCTTAGCTGAGCTAAGCTACCTGAGTGCAGTTATAATTTCTCTTCCCACAAGCTTAAATTTTTACTACTGCTGTCAGCGTTAATCTCATTAAAATTACGTTAACGCCATAACCGCATTAACGCGGCAAATCTCCGTTAGCGGTTTAGCGCAGATTGCCCCATGCGAGGGGCTGCAGGGTGCTAATACGTTAGCGCCTTTAGCTTGTTAACGCGTTAGTTCTGTTTGATATAATAGGAAAACACTGAAATAATCATTGAAAACAATCTTTCCCTTGCTCAAAAGATCATCCAGCCAGCACTGAAATCAGCTGAATTCACCAAAAATAATTAAAAATAAAGTAACAGTTGCCTCAAAGCACTTTGTATTGCAAGGTAAAGATGCGACAATATTAGTGAGAGAGAAAAGCCCAGCAGCCAGACGATCCAGTATGTGCAAGCACTTGGCAAAAGAGGGAAGGAAGAACTCTCTTTTAACAAAAAAGGTAAACCGTAGCTAACTTTGGAGTCTTTAGCTCTGCATCTGCTACCTATGTATGCTCAGGGTACAGTCACTGTGTTTGCCCACACTTCACCAAAAAAACTAAAATGTAATTGACGAGAAAAACATGGCGGACCAAACATCAAAATGACCATGATCAGAGAGGCAAAGAGTAAAGTGAGGCACAAAATCACAGACGTTTACATGGTAGCTCCTCCTCTGGGTAGAGCATTTATTGAAAAGAGCTCAGCATGATAAATGATAAAACGTGTTCCACTAACAGTGATTTCACAGATTAGCATCCGATTACATCATATCATCCTCCTGCATTTTTTCAAACAACTCACTTTCTTGTTTATATGTGTAAAAACAGCCCAGAATTATATCTGCTGGCTAACATATAGATCCTGCATCGGTCTTGAGTGGAGACCACTGTAAACTTACAGGTTTGGACACAATCAGGTTCATGACTGCTGTGTTTTGTTAATATGTTTGCATATTATATAATGGTTAATAAATTGTTTTAATACATTTCTCCAGTACAACGAGTGGGAGTCCATAAAGCAGTTGTTCATGTATGCATTTTGTGGGTGTTGTCTACACCTGTGTTTGTGTGTGAGAGGGGTTGGAGGCTAACGGCTGTGCGTTTGACCCCTCCTATCTCCTGCACCACCATCACACAACCCCCACGACTGTGATGATGTCTGAACTGTAGCAGTGATGTCATATTGATGGCGGTGATGTCACAGTATGCAGGTCATCTCTCTCTCTCTCTGTCTCTCTCTTTCTCTCTTTCTGTACTTGGTGGATTGTGATGTTTCTAATCCCTCATCTCTCTCCTCTCCTACGTCTCCCTCCTTCCCTTCCTCTCTCCCCCTCTTATCTATCTGTCCTTGTGTCTTCCTCCTCCTCTCTTTCCTCCTGTTTTATCCTCTCTCTTCCCGCTGTAACTTTAACCTTCCTTCCCCTCCCTCTGTGTCTCGTTTTCCCTCCATCAGGTGTCCCAATGACTATACGGGGGACCGCTGTCAAAACTCCGTCATGGCCAATTTCTACAGTATGTCCATTTGCTCTTGTCTGTCTCTTTCCCACTGAGATGCTGCATGCTACATTGGAGGGGTTGAATGGAGGGAGTGTATGCGTGTGCGTGTGTGTTTGCATACCTGCTCGTCTGTTTAATGTGAGTTATCGTATGTATGTGAACGTGTGTGTGATGTTTGCATGATTCTGTGTCCACCCTTTTCTCTCCCTGTCTCCCCTGGTTCCTCTGTGGTGCTCCTCTAGTAACCAGAAGCAACCACTGTAGGAATATTTACATTTATTTTTCCTGCCAGCTCACCTGCTTGAAACCCTATTTAAAGTACGCTGGATCTACAAAACAGTTCCAAAATAAACAACTTAATAAGCATTATGCCTCGTCTTACATCTTAAAATTCTGCACATCAGTCATGTAAATTACACCCAAAAGTTCTCGTGCTGCAGCTTGATCCAGAGGCTTGCACTAAAAGAAACAGAGGAGACAGAGAATTAACATAATGAGCAACACAGGAGGTTGAAGTTATTTGCTTTCGTTGAATCGCTTTGTCACTTTTCTTTGTAGATGATCCATTGGTGACGCTTGTTTTGGAGCAGCGAAAAGAGAAGCCAGAATTGAGCAATCAAGGCAAAACTATGTGGATAGAATCTATTAGCAGAAAAATCTTGGATCGATTTTACATTTTGGAAAGTTGAGTCCTTGCAACATTGTTTTGAACAGCTGCCAGTTTTTGTTAACAGTGACAATGTGCCCAAAATCCCAACAATTTGGCAAGTGAATGGAAATAAGATTTAGAGTTTGAATGTTTCAACATTTTAAGTCTTCAAGTAATGAGGTTTGAAAGTACCATTCATCGTTATTCAACCGAGGGCCTGTGTCAGTGTATATTGATCTGACTTTCTTCAAATTACATCTTAGAGGTTATTTCTTCTGACGGTTAAGAGCTTACGATATACTGTGTATATACTACCAGCTGTTTTCACTACAAGCACCCATGGATCATCCGATAAAATATTTTTATGGCATATTGCTAAACGCTGCTTGAACTTTTCATGTAGGGTTCACTTCGAACACATTCAGAAATTGTCACATAATTTTTGAATAAATTGAATATTTTAACATTTGGGAAATTTTCTTATTTGTTTTTCTGAACAGAGCTATAAGACTATTACCACTCATGTGATACAGATACATTAAATATAAACCTATAGCCAAGATAGCTAACAAGTTAGCGTAGCTTAGCACAAAGACTGGAAACAAAGGGAAACAGCTTGCCTAGTTCTGTCCACAGGTACCAAAATGTTACTACCACCAAACAGTAAAGTGTTATAGTAAATTAAATTGTTATATATTTACTGTGTAATTGTAAAAAATAAAGTAAAAAAATGAAAGTTGTGGGGTTTTGATGCTAGTAGCAGTGAGTTACTGGAATATTGTTATTTACAGACAAACAGTAGAGCTAAGAGGTTAATGTTTTTACCTTTTAAATTATTTAGTGTTGAACAGAGCCAAGTAAGCTTTTCCTAAAATGTTCCAGTCGTTTTACCAAGTTAGGCTAAAGATTCTTGTATCAGTCCTCTTTGTAAGTTGCCACTATGGCTTATATCCCCTCAGTTTTACCCTTTAAAAGACTTCCCTTTTACAGTCATGTGAAAAACAAAGTACTTTCTTTCTGAGGTTTCATGTATCAGGACTTAATAAAAACTACATGGGTCTTAGCTGGTTCTAAAATTATTAACATACAATAACAACTACATATGTCATATTACACTATTCATTTACCAAAAAGCAAAATGCAGAAGCACTCTGTGAAAAGGAAGTGAAAAACTAAGTAATTAATTTTCCCTTTTTCAGCAGTTTGGTTGTAGTTTTGCTGCTGTGCTTGGATTCACTGTTACATGACCCAGTTTCTGCTTTAGCTGTCAGACAGATGGCCTCACATTTGACTCTAGGATACTTTGGTATAGAGAAGAGTTCACAGATGACTCAATGAGTGCAAGGTCCCCACGTCCTGAGACTGCAAAACAAACCTAAATCCTCATCCCTCCACCACCGTGCCTTACAGTTGCTATGAGGTGTTTGTGCTGCTGTGCTGAGTTTGGTTTTTTACAGACATGGTGCATTGTTGCCAAACATCTCCACCTTGGTCTCGTTTGTTCAAAAGACATTGTTCTGGACGTCTGGAAATCTAAGCCGTACTGCCTCGCTCTCTTTACAGAAAGGAGGCTTTCTCCTGGCAAAACATGAGACTTGTTCAGTTTTCTAATTGTACTGTAACAATTCACATGCTAACTAAGGCCTTTAGAGTCTGAGATGTAGTTCTTGTGTTTTTTGCAGTTTCTCTGACCATTACATGGTCTGACCCTGGGGTGAATTAGCTTTGATGTCCACTCCTGGGAAGACTGGCAGCTGTCTTGGATGTTTTTCAGTTGTGAATAATCTTTCTGACTCTAGAATGATGGACTTCAAATTGTTTGGAAATGAGCTTATAGCCCTTCCCAGACTGATAGGCAGCAACAACTACATCTTTAAGCTGATTGAGATTTTCCTCAATACCAGCAAACTGCCAAAATGTAGCTTTTATAGTGGTGCTCACACTTGCTGATTATCAGTTTTTCAGGTGGATTTGATTAGCTGCACCTCTGCTGCTTAACCTCTGAACTCCTAATTCCTTAATTCCACACACTGCTTCTGCATTTTGTCTTAGATTTTGTTAAGTAAATAATAACACAGTCTAATATGCCACGTGTTGTTGTTCATCTGAGCTTATATTTACCTAATTTTAAAATCTAACAAGAACCAAATGACTGTTTTTTGATGACTGTAAGTCTAAATTTAGGCGAAGAATAAAAGGTGAAAGGTCGTATTTACATAGACTTGAATTCCACATATTTTCACCAGCCTGCCCAAGTTATGTTCATACAGTGCATGTACCGTACAAATTTATTAGAGCGCCACCCAAGGTAAGTTTTTGCTTAAGCACTGATGGTTAAGCACTTTGATCAAAGTTATATTTTTAATACTAAAATATAAATTTTGCTTTTAGCTCTGAATTTTCAAATTTACTGTTAAAAAAATCAGAAAAAATATAAAACGCATTAATATTTTTGGTTATTTGGTTATTTTTACTTAGAGTAAATTACCTACACTTCTGAACACACAGTGTGCAGCCACAAACACAAATTTAGTTTGTTATTTTCCTAATAAATAGCATTATCATTTTTGGCTGTTTTTCCCTGTGTTCATAAGAGGTGGGCTAATAAATTCAGTGTTTACTGACAGCAAGAAGGTTCTGGGTTAAATTATGCGTTTTCAGAGGAGTTCACTACGAATTCAGACTGATGTGCAAACAGATGTCTTTTCAGCAACCTAAGAATACGACTTTTCACCTTTTCGTTTTGAACCAAATATCAGCGTTGTTTAGACGTCTGTCAGGGTCGTCTTTTCAGTGTCTTTTCAAAGAGGTTTTTGCTGGGTGGGATGTAACTTGCGAAACTCCTGTTCCCCTGCTCTCATTTTTCATTTGTGACAACCAAGCGCAACGCTCCGAATGTCTTCCTGGAGAGACAGGACTGTGTTGTCCCCTTCTCTCCGATCGTTAGCATTTTTGCTCCAATCAGCAATCAAAACATATTAAAAACACGACCAGTTTCCACATAACCAAACCCACTACACAGGAAGTCAAATATGTGGATTTCCCAAAATGTTGAACACTTGTTTAAATCAGAGGGATGAAAGAAATGTGTTTGGTCATTCTCCTGTGATTGCATGGGCAGTGATAGCGAAACACAGTCGGCCAATATTGGCACAGGCACATAATTAATGGGATGAGATCTCTGCTTAAAGAATGAACAGTTTTAAAGTTAGCACCTGGCTTCTTTTGTACAGAAACAAACAAGCTCTTTCTTGTAGCTGCCCAAGCAATCACACCGAGATAAAACTTCTTGTTTCCAGGGGTTATACAGTGTTGCTTCACGTTCATGTTGTGCTTTTGTTTCTGTTTGTCTATTGCTGAAGTTTCTATACTGAATAATGTCACATTTAAAGCAAGAACAGGTTTTAACGTGTGCTTATTTTTGACCCCACCATCAAGCCTTGTGTTCATGCTGAAGTCTGTCTGTGTTTTCTTTTGCACTGTGACGGTGAAGGAACACCCTCTGCTGTTTTAAATCAATTTGTGTCATTTTCTAGCAGTATTAACACACAGTGCTCAAGGTTACAGAAGTTAAAAGTTAGGGTGGACTGTTCTGGCCAGTAATGCATGTGAGGCCAGAAATATTGGGAATGCTGAGATGATCTCTCTGTAAATCCTATGAGAGTCTCTAAGAGCAGCGTTATACAGAAGGTATGCTGTAATCAGTACAAAGGCACACAGTTGCCATTAGGCGAATGAGTTACAGCACCCACCCCCATTTGTTGTGTCGGCCTCATCAACTGTACTGTGTTTTTATGTTGGAGAGAAACTCACTGCTTTTATCGTTTGTTTTCTTTACTTTTTTGTCTTATTTTTTGTCCTTTTTGATTTTGTTTCTGTCCAATGTTGTTTACTCCAGAAATGAGGTCTAGTAAATATAGCAGTAAGTGATGTGGCTTCTTGTCTTGCTGTCTTTGTCAGTCTTTCTCTGCATGCCTTTTCCTGCCTGCTGTTTCTCTTTCCTTCTGCTTTTGGTTCATTTTCTCCCTTCGTGTTTGATTTCTGCCTGTTTTTTGGTTTCGTTTGTTTGGGTTTTTCTTTTTTTGTTTAGTTTTTCCTGTCATTTCTGGGGATCACAGAGCTGAGGCTGTCTGAGTTGTCTGTCTGTTACTAGACGGTACGCGTGTCAGTCACTCTATAATTAACTTATATCCTGGTTCAGCATATGCAGGACATGGAAATAATATATCTGCTCCAAAGTGGACATTACACCTGACCCTATGTGTCTCTTTCTTTTTACCACGACAACTTTCTGCGCTGGCAGAGCTTCTCAGAATTGAATTTATGGGTATGGAACATTATTATTCATTTTGCTGTGCTTAAAGGATGTGCCAAGATCCTCTCACAGTCACACATTATTGTGCCATCTTCTCTCTAAAACCAACAACTGGGTCTCTCACAACCTGTCCTTCTTTTTCTCCTGCCCACTAACTTGGTTTTAAGACACCTAACCTCCCGTCTTTGCATGCACTCTTCTTTTTTTGGTCTAACAACGCTAGAGAAAGAGACAAATTCATTGGGAAGGGATACAATAATAAGAGAACGTGCAGAGGTGCATTCAAACTCAGTGTAAGGGGCTCCTGATACGACTCCAAACTGTTTATCTGGACACCATATCAGAAAAGCAAAAAGCTGCCTCTTTGCTCCAAAAGAAAAATCAGCGAATGTTTTGCATCATTGATTAATACAAGTAACTGGCTCGTCCCCCGGGCTTTGGCAGTGTGCATATTGGTTTCAGCGGCCCGTCGAACAAAAACATGCAAGCTGCGAGCATTTTTGCAAAGCACTGCCAAAAGCCAGCAAAAAAAGCCTGACTATATAGTCTGTCCTTATTATTATGCCCTTGATTGACTCAGTGTCAGAGTCAAGAGCTTGCCTGTCCTAAATCACGATCGCTGCTGGCCCCACCGTGCCAGCGAGCTTGCCTTCCCATTTCCTTTTGCCTTTCTGTATCAGTACCCTGTGACACACACACAATGCCGGGCCGAGGCTTTCGTAGGCTCGTCAATCCCTACAGAGGCCCTTTATTTAGAGACTCTCCTCGTGCCCTCCCTCCCCCCTTTCCCTTCTTTTCAGTGGCGTGTCTAGAGTTTTTGTTTTGTTTTGTTTGGCAGGTTTAATGATAGGTTTCAGGCACCACTGAACGGCATTAGTTTTAATGTAAACTGAGAAGAAACTCATTTGAACAAACAAATATTTGTGTTGCAGAAGATTTTAATGGTAAATGGCCTGTATTTGTATAGCGCTTTACTTAGTCCCTAAGGACCCCAAAGCGCTTTACACTACATCTACACTCATTCACACACACATTCACACACTGGTGATGGCCAGCTACATTGTAGCCACAGCTGCCCTGGGGCACACTGACACTGATTTAGGTTGACGAAAACAAAAAGTTACCGTTAGTTACTGTTAATTTGGCCGTAACTAACAATGCAGTGACCTCGATAATCCAGTTAGTTGATAAGGGGACAAAGTCAGGTCAGTCTTTGGTTCCCGCAGGCCTCTTTCTTCTCCTGGGCCTTTTTCCTGGACACGCCCCTGCTCCCCTTGCAGCCTCTTTCCTTTCCCTCTGTGTATTTCCTTCTGCTTCCTCCTTTTTCACCACTTTGCTTTTCCTGCTTTTATTCCCTCTCTCTTCCCTCTCACGTTCCGTTTATTTGTTGCACTGTGTTTTGTGCTTTTCGTTCTGACACAGAGTGTTACGCCGCAGCAGTCCCCAGAATCTGAATTGGATACACTACAGGATTCACGCGCCATCACCATATTGTGTTATGAACTAAATAAAGTTTAATGTGATCCACGGGGACTTCCACGCCTGTACTGTTGAGTCCGTTTAAATCGAAATTGGTTAGTTTCCCAATGTACAAGAACTCTTGCAGGAGATTTGCACGTTAAAGAAACAGTATAGTCGTTCACAGTTTTTCCCAAGAATATGAGCTATGAATTAGATTATTGTAAAAATGTAAAATAACAAAATAAACACCATAACACCATTGGTGCTATTTAAACCTTTTTCTTTGATAAAAATGTTTCGCTTTTTAGCTTCAACTTAAGGTGGTAAATTGTGACATCGCTGTTGGGCTGTAATAGGTCACACCACCAGGAGGCAGCAAAACAGTCAATCTGGTGTCAACTTGTTTTAATTCAAAAAATCCTGTGTTTGTGATGCTGATGGCGAGCTATGTGAATACCAAACTTTCATCTGGTTCTCGGGCCGCTGTGGTGTTAACCTTGATTTTTTTTTTCCCCCCATCTTGACAACTTGTCTCGTGTGACTCCATTCATACAGGCATGGCATCAGATCTTTTCCAGTGCCATCTGTGGCATTACATCCCCATGGCCATTACAAACTTGTTTAAGACAGCAGGAAGTCTGTGCCAGGTTGTAGGTTTACATCTCAGCTTTTCCTCATGATAGTTGTGAGACTGTATAATTACTCCTCTTTGTTGTGTAGTACTGTGTGACTGCAAGAACATTAAAAGTCCAAGGCATGTGATTTGATAGAACAGAGACAGCACAGCGACATGATGACAGCAGATCATAGTGAGGACAACAGTTTCTTTAGTTGCCATAGATGGGATAGTGCTCATGCTGTATGTGTGTGTGTGTTTGTGTGTGTGTGTGTGTGTGTGTGTGTGTGTGTGTGTGTGTGTGTGTGTGTGTGTGTGTGTGCGTGCGTGCGTGTGTATTTTTGGTATGGTAAAATGTGCGTGTGAATGTGTGTGTATGTGTTTGCATATTTGCATCCACAGAGGCTGAGGAGCTCTACCAGAGGCGGGTGCTGACGATCACAGGCATCTGTGTGGCGTTGTTAGTGGTTGGCATCGTTTGTGTGGTGGCCTACTGCAAAACAAAGTATGTCTTTGAAACAAAAAGAAACGATTCCACTGTATACAAAAGACTGAAAACCTTTGAATTAACCCTTAAGTCAAAAGCAAAAGTGCCATTACAAAGACCTAAAAGTACTCTATTACAATCAGAAGCCTTATATTGCATGCATGTTAAGTAACTGACTGAAAGCATTTGTTCTGCAGAAATTGTCCTCTGGAACTGAAATATTATTAATTAAGACGTTATTAGAGTGCTCCATTTAAAGAAAAAAAGAAGCTGCATCTTTATTTGTGAAAAATTTGTACTGTGCAAAAATCTCAAACCACTGTATTCTGCTAGGAAAAATAAGTGCTGCGATTTTCTAAAACATTTGCAAAATTAAACGTAAATGCAGTGCATAAGACAAAAAGAAATCCCAATGCGCTTAAAAGTCAATATTTGATATTACCACCTTACTTTAAGTAGTCTTCAGGAATAGTTCTCCAAGCTTCTTGAAGGACATTCAAAGCTTTTCTTTGGATGTTTCTGACTTTTGCTACATTCTCTGTCAAGATGGTCCGACACTGCTTCAGTAAAGTTGAGGTCTGGGCTCTGGGGAGGCCAATCCATGCCTGACAGTGTTTCATTGTGTGTTTTTTATCCACTATGCTTTTACTATACTAGCAGTGTATTCAGGATCATTATCATGTGGAAAAATGAAGCCATTTCTAATCAGATGATTTCCCGATGGTGTTGCATAATGGATGAAAATCTGACGCTAATTTTCTGTGTTCATACTTCCAGCAGTTATGACATGATTCTCAACACCACCGACTGAAATGCAGCCGACACTAAGACAGAGCCTCCACCGTGTTTTACAGATAACTCTAGACACTCACTGTCGTCCCGCTCTACTGACCTCTTCCATATAGGATACATTTGACAATCATTTGAACCAAAAGTTTCAAGTTTGGCTTCATGATTCCATCACACCTGTTGCCACTGATCCTCAGTCCAGCTCTTGTATAATTTTCGGACTTTATCCGTTTCACCCTGTTTTCCTTCCTTAATGGCTTCTTGACAGCAAGTCTTCCACTGAGACCGTTTCTGAATGGTGAAGGGCCTGTTTCTTAAGGACGTGACTTTCACATACTGTTCATACTATAGATGTTGTTTTAGGCTTGCTATTTTGTGTTTTGCCCTTTGCTTGTCTAGTTTCCTCAAATTTTTCATGGACACTTTTTTAGCAAACAGATGTATTAAAATTAAGTTTTTGGTGAAAAAGATTATTTTAAATTGGTCAGACTTGATCTTTTGCATAGATTCAACTAAAGAAATAGGAACATGATTTTGTTTTGTGACAGCCTGTTTGTGAAAAGAGCGTAGAGATACAATTTAAAGTTAGTTTTTTGCTAAGTTCTCTGTTATGTGGAAACAAAAATAAATGAAAAAGCAGCCAATGTTTGAAGAAAAACTTTGAAAAACCACAAGAAAGCTTGGAGAACATTTGCTCAAATCTAATTTTTTAAATGACTAAACTGCTTAGACTTTTGCACAGTACCATATTTGAACATTGTCATCTAAATAACATGATTGGAGGAAGGCATCTTGAAACTGCTACCATCTTATAGACCAAAAAAACGCTTTAGTGCAGGCATCTTACACTGACTGTAAGTACAATAGTAATATATAAATACATATAATTCACATTTTGCCAGCTAAATGCTATTTACTCATGTTCTACCACGTCCCCTCACATATTTTGAATTCAGTAGTAAGAGAGGATATCGGTTTGGTAGATCTCTTATTGTTCCTTCATCATCACCACCCGTTCAGGAAGCAGAGGAAGAAGATGCAGAGTCACCTACACCAAAACCAGAATCAGTGTGTGGAGCAGCCAAACCGCATGTTGGCTAATGGGCCAAATCATCCTGGCCCTGGTCCTGAGGAGATCCCCATGGTTGACGTGAGTCCAAACAATAATAACACTCAGCTGAGTGGAGCCCTAATTTTAGTTTGTTTTTGCAAATCATCATTACTTTCAGAGAAGCTGTTTAAGCTTAAGTTGAAACCAGAGTGTTTGCAACTGTAACAAATTGATTTCATTTGACTTTTTGCTGTGCGATTCAACAGCAATTAATTTACAAGCATAGCTACTGATCTGATATAGCATAAAAATCCACTATATCAAAGCCCCACAGCATTTATTAAAATAAAACCAGACATATCAGTGCTTTTAATTAAATATACCCATCCCAGAAATAGGAGTTGGGTGTCAAGATGTCCAGAAAACCCTCACATATTCATTAATGCTAATGACCGACCAAAGAGGAAAAAGACAGGAGGACTGGATGTTCAGAAACCAACAGAGACTCAGCTGGTTCATGTTCCTGCTGGAGTTTTTTTTAGATTCGTGACTTCGATTTAAAACTTGAGCTAAGGTCTGCCTTCAGCAAAGTGTTTATGTGAGTAAAACGGTGATTCACTGACTACATGGGGAAATTTTGGTGTCACGCAGCTAGCTACATGTTAAAGAGAGGGCAGAAAACACCTAGCATCTTGGTGGAGATACAATAGGCATGAGTCAGCATAAACGTAAAGCTGAAAACAGTGAAGAGGAAAGAGCAGAACGCCCTGATGTAGTTACATTTAAAATTCCCTATCCATATGTTTGTTTTTGTTTTGATTTGAAGGTAACAAAGTAATCAAACGCCTTTTATGTTTTATTTTTTCAGTACATCTCCAAGAGCGTCCCTACGACCGAGTGCGTGATCAGCCACGGAGCCGAGGGTGCAGGCAACTATGCAGGCAGTCGAATGTCGACCCGCTCCCACCACTCTACCACTGCCTCACATGCCTCCAGGTACATCCACACACTGCAGTCAGGATGGACACATAATCCAAGCAAAAGAACAGGTCTCCTAATCCTTAGTCTTTGTCCAATTGGAGCACATTTTATCTTTGAGCTGTTGCAGACATTCTTGTAAACACCAAACAGATAAAGGTGGGCAGCATACTAAAACAATGTTCACACAATTCAAACCTCAGTCAAAATAATCGGATTGTTATTGGTCTGTGACTACTACATCTGGGAAATCCACTGGGGGCTGTCGTACATACTTTACAGTGCATAACAAATTTAATAGAACACCATCGAGTGTAAGGTTCATGCCGCAGTTGCACTAATTTAACATTATTGGTTAATTACCAGAATCATTTTTTCTGTAATGGTTGATCCACCAGTTTGTGCAAGCTCTTTAATCGACATGATCACTTTAATGCTAAGATAGAATTATTGTTGTTATCCATGAATTTCAAGATTGACTGTTTTACAGTAAATGAGGAGAAGCACATTTTAATTTTAAGATTAAGATACCAAATTACAGATATATGCAATTGTTCCTACTTAACAGAAAAATGAGTTTTAGTGGTTGAATGTCGCATTTGATTTATTTTCTGATTTAAGTGTCAAAGTTTGGGTATTTAAAGTAAATAATTTCCTGAATATAATACAGGTATATAAAATACAATATAAACTGTCTGTGTGACCTTATATTGCTAGAGCTAACTAAGCAAATTGCAGCTAAAACAGAAAAGATTCTCCATAGTTGCAGATTGATTAGTCACTTCACCACCAGAGGGCAGAGTAATAACTCATTAACTGAGCTCTAACTGCAACCACAGCCACTGGACATACCCCGTGCCGCTTATCTGTGGTACTGGCTGCTGCTTTGGCCTAGCTTGGCATGCCTTTTAGATCACTGTAAAAACATCCACTCCATCTGCTATGAATAGCTTTCAGTACACGGCAACCACATATCTGCACAACAAAGTACAGCAGCTACACGGGGTAGCTTTAACCACCTTGAACACAACACAAACGAGTCCTGATGCTCTGTTTTCATGCTTAACACAGGTGACTGTTGAATGTCAGTGGGATCAGTGTACTAACTTCAGTCTCCCTTTGTATCCCCTTCCTCCCCGCTGCTGTCATAACCTTCTAAACTCGTCCTGCAGACACGAGGAGCACACGTGGAGCATGGAGCGAACAGAGAGTATGAACTCAGACTGCCAGTCAGGTGGGCTCTCCAGCTCTGTGGGAACCAGTAAGTGCAGCAGCCCAGCATGCATGGCGAGGAGGGCCGCCCACTGGGGCTGTACGGATGCGTCGGGACCGGGAATGCAGTACGGGGACTCCTACGATTCTCTAAGAGACTCACCTCACAGTGACAGGTAGAGAAAGTGGAAATTGTGGGCACTGTGGTTTGGAGGGAGAAGGAACTTGCTCAGTGGCTCTTAAACACTTTTGCTGGGCTGTGCTTCTTGCTACAGTGGGCCCACCAAGTGGCAATTAATTGCTAGGACTTTTTTTTTTTAGTCTTTTTAAGAACTATATCACCCAGACACTGTTAATAATAATGTGTAAAAAGATATAGCGGTGGTGAAGGCAATTAAATTAAATTAAAATCTATTATTATTATTATTATTATTATTATTATTATTATTATTTGTTTGTTGTTGTTTAGGTGATTCTACTCACCTAGTTTTGATACACAGGTGTGACATCTTTTATTTATTTTTTTTCACCCATGACTTTGTAAAGAGAAGAGAAACGGGGCGACAGCAGAGTTCATCGGAACAGGAGAACCCTGAAAAAAGTTCAAAGATCAAAAACTACAACATGAAAAGCACAGACTGAGGCTGCAGTTACACTTCTCATTGTATTTAACACTCAGTTGCACTTCAGCTCTTTGCATTTTATAACTTCTCTCCTCCGCGTCTGGCTCATGGATCAACAACAGTACAAGCAAGAGTGGCCCAAGGCTCGTCATACCTCACACTGCAGGTCTTGATGCTCAATTCCGATTTTTTGATCAAATCCGATTTTTTTGTCTGCTTGTCCACACTACAAATAAAATGTGACAGCAAGCGCTCTCTAGTGTGAACGCTCAAAGCGCCCGCATGCGCAAAAGAAGACGTCACACACAACGCGCTC